AAGAGAGAGAGAGAGAGAGAGAGAGAGAGAGAGAGAGAGAGAGAGAGAGAGAGAGAGAGAGAGAGAGAGAGAGGGAGGGAGGGAACCCTTCGCACCGTTCTAGCCGTGTCCACGAACTTGAGCGCCAACAATTCTTGGTATCGTTTGAAGGTCTCTTCATCAACGACTTTCGCTACGTCGGCTTCTGACAAAAGCCGTCGGCAAAGGGGTTCTGGACACCGAATTCCCTTGACCGCCCCATCGGTTATCAGCACAGTGATGTACTCGTGGAGACAATCCCCGCAAGTCACGTGGCCGCACTCCATCTGCAGACCTTGCCGAACAGATTGACGAATGTCTTCGAAACACACAATACACTTTGTACTCGAACTGCTCTCGCCGGCTTCTCGTCCACCGCCTCCTTCTCCGCCTTGCTCTCTTCTTGCTCCCTTATCCTCTACGGCAACGCGGGCACTAGTCGCCGGCCTGAGATTCCCAGCTGCCATCGAGAACAGTCCTCCTCCTCCTCTTTCTCCTTCTATGATCCCTTTCTCTCTACCTCCTTGATCCTCTATAGCAACGCGGGCACTAGTCGCCGGCCTTAGATTCCCAGCTGCCATCGACAACAATCGTCCTCCTCCTCCTCCTCCTCCTTCTCCTGCTGCTGCTGCTGCTGCTGCTCCTCCCATCGAGGTATTTCCTAGGTCCTGCACAAAACGGCCGCGCACGCGCAAGTCGGCAGCAGCCGCGTTGCGACCGCCGCCGTCTTCTCTATCCACTTCTTTCTTACCTAGAAAGGTAATAATCGTCCCCCCGTCGCCCCGGGATTGCCGATCCTGTACTTTCTCCCCGGCCCCTCCGCCTCCGCCGACTCCGCCGACTCCGCCGCCTTCCGCGTTGGCGCACACGCCCGACGACTTCCCCACGATTCGCAACAGCGATTGCTTGTCGGCCGCCCAAGCATTGAGTAGCCGGTTATCGTCGCCGTGATAGAGATCTAAGAGAGAGCTCGCTGCGATCTCGTTCAGACCGGTCTGGGTAGCAACCCGTCGGATTAAGTTGGACCGATGGGCCTTGATGTCGGCGATATCCCCTAGTACAACGATGCCGTTGTCGTCAGCACAACGTCGAGGCGGGGGCATCAGCCCTTCGAGTTCCATTTGCTCGGCAATCTTCGACTCCAGGACGCCTTGCAGCCTCTTGTCGTAACGGCCATAGCGCATCCAAGTCACAGCGGAACGAACGGCTTGATGTACCGAGGGAGGGACGATGGCAGCCAAGAACTGAGGAAGAGGGCTGCGAGGAGGGTAGAGAGGAGAGAGACTGCCCGGAGAGGCACAGGTATTACCACTATTACTGTTGCTATTACCGTTGGCGTCACCGCCATCGTCCTGCCTGGCGGCGATCGCAACCGTCAGGAAACTGCCGAGACGAGACAGAATCGCGGCGAAATCGGGATCCCGAGAAAGGATACCCCGCTTGATTAGTTCCCGCACTGTGGAGTTCTGCTGCAGCCGTACAGCGCGTTGCAGAGGCGTCACTCCGTTGCCATCAGGCGCAGCCAAGAAGGAGTAACCCACTCCAAGCGCACAGCCAAGCGGGACTCCGTTAACACTACCACCCTCCCCCTCCGCGGCCTTCCCCCCGACGGCCTCCGCCCCGCCGGCGCTGCTGCCGCGTTGATCACGAGGTTGATGATGGTTCAGTCGGTCCCAGATCTCCAGCAACGCGGTCACAACCGTGAGCGACCTCGTCCGGATCGCGACGTGGAATGGTGTTTCCAGATCGTGGTTGTAAACGTTGAAGTCAACCTCGTCGAAGAGGCGATCCCCGTCCTCGGCCTCCTTCTGCTCCTCGTCATGGTCGTCTTTCCGCCCTCCCTCCCCGTCCTCCTCCTCCTCCTCCTCCTCCTCCTCCTGCTGCTGCTGCTGCTCCTCCTTTGGCGGCCGCCGCCGCCGCTGCCGCTGGTCTTCTTCCCCCGCGTTGTGCGACGCACCCCTGCAGGCGCTGCTGCACCGATAAGAGATCAGACGGAACACCTCGGCTCGGCGCGCATCGGACAGCGCGTTTCCGCCCCCGTTCAGAACCCGCGAGATGAAGGAAGACATGGGCGCGAGGCGCGCCGCCTTCCGTGACGTCTCCCGACCCCCCGCGAGGTAATGCAGCGGAAGCTGCAGCCCATCGTCCTCGTACGCCCATGTCCATCTCGCGCCCGGGCAACTAATTAGCCCGCACCAGCTCAACGATTGCCGACCTTCCAGCGCGCGGCTGATCACAGCCCAGTCCCCCTGAATGCAGCCAATCCGCAGGCTCCGCTGATAATCTGTCAAGGCTCGAGCGCGCGTCGACTTCCCCACCCACTCCGCGAGGTAGCACTCGCCCCGCCCCCGAGCGGTCGCATCCTCGTCCTTCCTCAGCAAATCGCAAATAGTCATCTGACATATCCCACCAACACCGCGCATCAGCAAGACACCGACCGAGAGATCGAGATCGAGTCATCAAATTGACATTGAAGTCATATAATCCACCCCACTGGAGATACTAGTTCATTCTAGATCTTGCTGCCTTGATTGATTGCTTGCTTGCTTGATTGATTGCTTAGTATGCTTACCCTTCGCTTGACTACTCCCCGCTCAATTGCCTCTGATTGCAATACCATAAGTGTGAAAACCTCACCTAACTGATACCTGCTTTTTTCCTGCTTTTCTGTACTCAATGATAATGAGACAGAGCCACTGCTGTTCACCGCCTCAGATCGGTCACCAGACTTACCACTTTGCCGCGATGTGGTATTTCTGTCTTCGTCCCGGCTCCCATCCTTCCTCGTACTGCTACTTCTCGGTCAGTCAGATCACCTCTCTCTCTCTCTCTCTCTCTCTCTCTCTCTCTCTCTCTCTCTCTCTCTCTCTCTCTCTCTCTNTCTCTCTCTCTCTCTCTCTCTCTCTCTCTCTCTCTCTCCCCCCCCTCTTGTACTGCTACTCGTTCCGTCAGATTCTCTCTCTCTCTCTCTCTCTCTCTCTCTCTCTCTCTCTCTCTGTGTGTCTACCACCGCCGATTGCAGTAGGTCTAGGCAATCGAACATACGTTATCAACCCACCTATGGCAGTGAATACGCAGCATCGTTCATGAAGCGGTAGGGAATGAGATCGGAGCGCGTCAACGGCGTCTCGTCATCGACAAGGTCAAAGGCAGTTCAGGGGTCAACCAGACAAGCCGCCCACTGGCAAGCGACCGACCTGCAGACCAGGCGTCAAAAACTGTGGTCTTCAAGACGGCTTATGGCGACTCTTAGCCCGTGCCGCCGCAACGATGTCAGTCGGCCCATCTGAGAACATTACTCACAATCTGGGTGCATCTGATGGCAATTGCGGTCCACGTGTCTGTACCTGGCCACAATTACGCCCAGAGCTGAGTCCGAAATGTGCCAGCGTGGACACAGTGTGACTATGCCCTAAGCCCGGTGCGGATTTTCCTACTTCTTTGGCCGAAGCCGCAAGGATCCTTCCCCCACCGCCATCGCCTGCCTGGGTAGGTCAAATGCTTTCGTTCGTTTTTTTTTTCACTTTTTTTCACTTTTTTTTCTCCTGTACAATACCGGCCGAGCGCGGGCAGTCAATCTGTTTCTTTTTTTTCTTTTTTTTCCTTTTTTTTGGGACCATTTCTCGATTGATTCTCTCAGACACATACAGCAAGTCCCACACTGAGTCCCACCGTCAGTCCCAGAGTGACCCCAGCCGGCCGAGCATCGACAGTCTATCTGTTCTCCCAGATAAACTGGCACAAATTAAGTCCCAGAGTGAGTCCCAGGGTGAGTCCCAGAGTAAGTCCCAGCTTGAGTCCCAGAGTGTGTGTGTGTGTTCAGTGTTCTGCCTCTCCCCTTTGACCGCCTACTACCATTACCCAAATGTGGGAATGTCGGGATACGGCGAAAGGGTGCGCGGCGTTGCTCCCCTGGGCCCTAGGTTGACCAGGCCCTTCACACCCCTTGGAGATATCGGACCTCGCTCCACTACTCTCCACACCCACAAAAGACAAAAAATATGCCAATGCATCTTTCCATGTTCCCATGTCTCATTCTCATTCTCATTTTGCACATGTGGAGGGTACTGGAGCGACGCCCATCGTCATGAAGTGACAGGTCGCAGGTACTGACTGCTGTGGTGCCAACCTACCGCGTGGGCTCGGGGGAGAGATCCAGGTTGGGTGGTGTTTCCCCGGACGATTCCCCCGAACATAACGCACACTGATAATGAATGTATATCGACTACCTGTCCGTCCCGATGCAGTCAAAATGATGGTGCGTTGTGTTCGGGGGAACACGGTAGCGAGAGGAATTGCTGGTACGTTGTGTTCGGGGGAAGACGGTAGCGAGAGGATGAGATAGATGCATAGAGGGAAAAAAAAAAAAAAAAGTAATATTTTGCATTTCTGCGTGTCTCTGACGACGGCGCTAGCTCAGGGCGTATTTGCACTAGCACTTTCCACAATGCATCTGACCGCAACTACGGCCAAACCTGCACGAACCTAACCGCAATTAAGTCCACAGCATTGAGGAAAAGTCCTGGTGAGAATATGCCCTCAGTTGGTACACCCACTAATCAAGACCCAATTCTAATCCAGAAGCAAGCAGATGAACAGAAATGATTCTTCATATTTCCTGTGTACCCCTTTGACTCTAGAGATAAGGTTTAGTTGGTTGGAGATCAGGGTGAGGCCTTTGTCGAGCCACTCTCCTTCGCTTGGAAAGAGAGAGGTATTGTGTGGCCATTCTTCCCATGATTTCCACACTAAATCTATAACCCCTGGGTTATCAAGGACGTGTGTACTAAGTCTGAACAGACCTTTGCCTTTTGTGGCCTCTAGGCCCAAGCTAATTTCGAGGTAAACAGGTTTGTGATCTGATATGGGGCTTTGTGGAAAACAGGTTTGTGATCTGATATGGGGCTGTTAGTGCTATATGCTTTGTGGACCCGCTGTAGTACAGCGTCATTAGTGAGGATATTGTCCAGTCTCCTTTTTGTGTAAATATTGGTTGATGATAAAGAAGAAGATTCCCATGTGTAACAGCGTGTGTCGGGGTGGAGGAGTCGGAAGGGATCAAAGAGATTCATGTCAACCATGAGGTCATTCAGGGCTGCAGATTCACTAGGATAAGAGAGGGGGGTGGTGGAATCTATAGTAGGGTTGGGGACTGTGTTCCAGTCCCCTCCCACAATCAGGAAGTCTGCTTGTGGGATTACCGCATGGAGGTTGGATAAGAACTGTGTTTTGAGAGAGTGTTGTGATGGTGCATAGATGGACATGAAGATCCAGACGCGCTGTTCAAGGAGTAATGAGTACCAAACCCAGTGGCCAAGGGGGTCAGCCTTGGATTCCTGAATGAAAGGTAAGAGTTTTTTGTGAACCAGGATTCCGGTGCCACCTTTGGAGCCTTGGGCAGGTGCCCAGGCCTGTGGCCCTTTCCACCACGTGTTCATGGAGGCCAAACTATCTGCTGATAGTTTGGTTTCTTGAAGCAGCATCACTGACACACGGTCGGAATGAGCCCAAGACTTGAGGCGGGCCCTTTTGTTTTTCCCATTCTTGTCTACCAGTCCGTGAACATTTAGGGAGGCTACAGTGAGCCTAGTGTCCATTCACGAACCTCCCCTGCATCGCAGCCTGGATAGACGCAATCTGGCTGGGGGGGAGCATGGACGTTGTATCCCAAGCAAACTTCATTGTCTCCAAGATGTACTTGGAGAAAATTGATCTTTCCTTGGGGTTGCAGCCATCCATCTCTGCTAAGACATCCCCTGTGATACCATCTCCCAGTGAGGCCTGGTACTTTTCTTTCTTGTTGCCTGGGCGGAACCATGCGGTGGGGGCCCACAGCAGGCCTTCATCCGCAAACTGTGGGTCTATGCCAGGGGCCAGGGCTGCTTCCAGGTACATACTGAATGGGGTTCGTTTTGCCCGTGTGACCTTTACGGTAAGTTGATGTGCATGACAGGCCTGGGATCAGGCGAACAAAATATTTCTTGTCCAGGGTCTTTTGGGAAGCCTGCAAGAAGTTCTCCGGTTGGGGCAGTGTACTCAGGGTGAGGGATGGGATAAACAGCTGATTATCATCATTCCTCTGAAACAGGATCATCGTGCTCTGGTTATTTTGTTTGAAGATGATTGGAGCGAGTACAAATGCTGTGTCGTGCTGGGCCGTAGGGGATACAGGGCCAGTCCAAGGGACAATAGTTGCTGGAGGTTGGGCCGCGTTGGACATGGTCTGATCCTCTGTCCGCAGTTTCTTCGGAGCCTGCTTGGGCGGAGAGGTAGTGGCATTCACCTCCGATGCTGCCGCTGGCTGTGATTGTCCAGCGGTTGATGTGCCTGCTGTGGGTGGGGGGAGAAGCAGGAGACCTGCATTGTCGATGCCCTGTGGGTGGTCTTCGCCCGCTGCAGTAATGGTTAGTAATCCGGGTACACCTGTAGGGGTAGCACCTGGACGTGAAACCTCCCAGAATGGTGTTCAGTCCTTGTTCAGGTTAGCCCCGGGTAGGGGCATGTTTGGGTGCCCTAGTGGAGCTCCCAACGGACGCCACGCCAGTCTGCCCTGGGTGGGTGTTCCACCTTTGGCCGCTTGCTGCTCTGATGCAGCCCAGTCGAAGGGGACGTGACGAGAGCCTGAGCGGGAGGATGAGCCCTGCCCCCCCCGGGGACCGGGGACCGGGCCCCCTCCTTGAGTTACGGTCTGTTGGACCCTCTTTGTCGGCATAGCTGTCCCATCTGGTTCTCCCATTAGTGAAGCCCGGGTTGAAGATGGGCGGGATGAAAGCTTTGTCCTTTTGTTTGGACTAGGGCGACTGTGTGTTGTTCTTGCGTTTGTTTTCGGGGTCTGAGCGGCATTCGTCTGATTCGTGGCCATGCTTGAGGCAGGTGTAGCAGAATGGGCAATCGTCTGCCAGATGTCCATGTCTGCTGCATTTGTTGCACCAGGGTGTGTTGGCGTTGATCAGGTCGGCCATAAGATATTCGGTGGCTGTCCATATCTTAAGGCACGGCCTGAACAGCTCCTCTGCACTGTGGTGCAGCCGAAACTTCAAGTTCCCCAGTTTGGGGTCGTTTGGGTCTGCAACAGGATCAAATTCCTTAATTACCTTTCCCAGTGCTGCTTCAATTCCTGTTTTAAAAAGGAATGAAGCTGCAATGGGAAAGCGCATAGCCATTACTCAAAAGTTTTCCTTTTTATCTTCTTCTCTCCTTTTCTGCCATTCGGCTCTGGGCATCCAGGAGCGAAAAAAGACAAAATGCCATTTCCCGTTTTCCTTGAATTTCATCTCTTTCTTTGTGTTCAGCAGCCAGTCTACCACTTTCAAATTCTTCGCTGTGTAAGTCATTTGTCCCCTCCCTTGAGTCCCTTCCATGTGTGTTGTTCCCTTGTCAGTGAGGAGCTCCTCTTCGCTGAGAACCGATTCCTCTAGGTAACGGATGAGGTCCATATTTTCATCAGTAGACCAATTTTGGTCTCTCCTTGAAAAACGATGGCCACAGTCGTATGCTTGAGGAATTCGTTCTGGATTCTTTGTACTTTTTCGTAAGGTCTGATTTCGATGCAGTCGTCATCTTCGTTTATTGTCGTTTCCACATACTCAGA